TATATATATATATATATATATATATATATATCACCGTAATAAATTACGTAATCATTTAGATGTAATATGCCATTTAATATTTTTTTCTTTATCGTATTTTTTGCATAAAGAAAAAATTTTTCTCTTGTAGAAGAAAAGTGCAGTGACGAAACAGCTGAATATTATATTTATATACTTCTTCTTCTTCTTCTTCTTCTTCTCTCTCTCTCTCTCTCTCTCTCTCTCTCTAATACAGAAACTTTATCAGACTTATCTTTATTAAAGATTTAAAACACTGTTGTGCAGTGTGTCAGGATTAAAAAATAGAAAACATCCATTTTTACAAACTTCGGTCGACAAAACGTTTTATCAAGAGACATCGTTGAGGTCGATCTTTATTTTAATCTGAAAGTGACATGGCAAAATGGAGTCCACTCTGATATATACGCGACTTCACGGCTCATCCGGCAGAAAGCTACGGAACAGCGAAAACCATTAAACAGTCTTGAGTCGAGATGTCTCTACAAAAGCGAAAAGATCGAGGTATGAGAATAGCAAGTGAGAAAACTATTTGGTCTCGCGCAAAGCGCAATTCAGAGGAACGTCGCACGACTCGATGCAACAAGTTGCGAATGCAACGAAGCGCATCGCATACCCTTCTCACTATTATCGAGTAAAAGCGCACAACAAACAACTGACGAAGTCAGAGTCCTTGGAGACTTAACGGGAAGATTAACATGAAGCGAGATCGCTCTCGATAGATTTTCAAAGCAGAGACCGTAATTACACTGTAGACATTGTAAACATTCCTTTTGCCGCATTTCTTCATAAAGAAGTTCTTCGAACAAAATTCCGGTTTTCTTGGCAGTTTTTCCATCAGAAATTGAGTGCTACACAGAAAAAAATGTTTGGTTGAATTAACTAGAATTCTAGTGGAAAATGAACGAACTCTAATTACAAATCTACAAAATTTCTGGTTAAATTTATTAAAATTCTAGTTGAAATAATCAATATTTAATAGATTTAATCAGAAATCTAATAGACAACCAAAATTCTTATTAATTCATTTTCCATCAAAATTCTAATTAATTCAACCAAACATTTTTTTCCATATATACTTCTTTTTGTCAGAAATTGAGTGCTGCTATACTGCTTAGAGTTTCACTAAATTGTATCATTGATTGTCTTAAGAAAAAATAGCGTTTATATATTTTATAAAGATTATTTCAATCTTTTGTAGTTATCAATTAGCTTATTCATTAGTAATATTCAAGCATTTAATAATGTTTAATTAATAATAACGGTTAAATACTGAATAATAATAAATTTAATTATCTTTACTGAATTTTCGAAAACTGATTACAATTTTTTGTAATTTTGAAAAATAACGATAATAACAAAGGCAGGTAATTTAATTATATTAAAATTAGGATAGTCTCATGCATTTTATCACTCATTACATTCATTTTAACGTAACGGACGTGTTTTAACGAAATTAATTACATACCAATAGCGCATGTAAAGTCGAATAAAATTTAATTTCTACGTATAATGTGGAATTGTCGAAATTGACAGTCTGTCGAACATAGCGCCTGTTCGCCTTGTTGTTTAAAATTATAATGATCGGCAGGGTGAATATACGCCTGTTGCACGCGCTTGTTGCAAATTAAAGCATACAAGCGAACATTAAATAATATCCAATTTAATTATAAAGCTTAACAATTTATCTTTAAAGGTTTTACGCAGTAAAAAAGTTTATGTGTACGCAACGAAATGGGATGTTTTCATTTTTATAGATGATTTCCTTTGATCATCTTTCAAGCTATTAATTTTAGTAAAATGATTTAAAAAGTCTTTTTATGCAACATTTGCATGAATTGTAATGTTATTTATGTAAAATTATTACTGTATCAATCTCAGCGCATTTAGCTTTTTATTTTACAACACTAAATACCATTGCACATTGTTGCTTGCCACAAAAGCAAAATTTTATTTTGAAGTTATTGTTCAATCTCTTTGCTATGCTTGCATCAAAATTTTATGGTACAAAATGAAAAGACATTACAAATCCATTTATATGCTTATCACAAAATGTGATTTTAAGCGCTGAATTTCATATGTAATAAAACTAATATTATTTTTCCATAATGTATATATTTTTGCACAATAAGAAACTCTATTATAAAATACCGATTATATTCAAAATTTCTAACTGCGACTTTTTTTTTATGTAACTCTTTTATTTTTTTCATGTAACTCTTTGATGTAAATAAGTAAAAGCATGAAATGCTAGCAACAGACATGCGATAACGCAGATTCAGTAATATATGTCAGTAATCTGATATATTGCAACAATTGCTAAATTTTACTATCGTATAATCACATATTATAATCATAGAATATTATAAGTTAATCATTAAATTATTAATTACTAAATTATTAATTATTATATTATTAATTACTAAATTATATTTAAAAAAATAAAAATTTTCTTCTTCAACTATTATAAAAAACTAAATATCATGCACAGACCTGTATCTTTACAAGTTTCACGAATATAACATTAAATACTGATGTATTCATGATCAATTAAAAAATATTTTACAGTGAAATAGCACACGGGAAATGGGGGGTATTTTACTATAAAATATATATAAAAAATTGATTGACAATTGTGATACGTAAATGAAGTGTGTGCTTTACCTGAATAGGTCCTGCCACCGCATAAGCGACCACGCCAATAAAAACGATCACGATCGATGAACCGGAAAGTGCCATTACGCCGTTGAGTTTAGTTCACGATGAATCAATCGATATCGAGAATTCGTTCTTCAAAAAGAAATTAATCAACCGCAGTTTCTTCAGACTCGTGATGCACGTCGTGAAAAACGTGTGGAGTGCCCCGAGTTTCGTGCTTCCATGGCATATATAGAGGGCTGCGCTTTCCCCTGTTCAGGAAGGGGTGCAAACGTCGCGCAGACGCGGCATGTCGCAGGTCTTCGTCGATGATTAGATACATTTGTCATTTTATGATGCGAAATTCGATATATACATCGATAGCAATAGACCCAAGTATTCTCTACAGAAAAGCGAATCGAAAGCGAGAGATTAAAACTATAACGGACAAAGTTCACATTGCTATAAAATGCATACACAAAATCAATTTTACTATAATTGTTCGTGAAGACGAAAATGTGATAATTGAGAGACGATGAAATAAGTTTTTCTTATCAATTACATGAGTAGTTTTTATTAGGTTGTAAAATAAATTGTTTAAGCTTTAACAAAAAAAATTTAATAAATCTTAAATTCATATTTTTTTATTCGTCTTTTCGTCTTTTAAGAAATATAAAGATTGCATAGCAGTAATTTAATAAAATAGCAGGTTTGCTATTTTAATATCAATGTAATAATAAACTTCAATAAACTTATAATTTGAGCGAACGAATATTCTTTTTCTTTATAATAGCTGTGAGCTATCTCAATAATCTTAATGCTACACGTTTTTACGGTCTAGACAGAATAAATGGATAATAAACGTATAATCCATCAAATCAGACATATGTCTTCAGACCATTAGCAATTTTTGTTAAATAAAGTATAAGTATTTTTCGATAACGCATCAATCTCTGACATTGTATCAAAATGGCTTTGCCATTTGAACTATTATAAAAGGAGATTAATATCGGAAGATAAGCGCAAGATATATACAGGTTAATATCACTCAAAGTAATATCACTTAAAAGCGAGATGATCAGGCGTCTTCGAAGCAGCTATTGGTCTTTACTCTTTACTTCAAGGACAAAATTTTTAATAATACTCGATTGAAATTTTTTAATGTATTTCTTTCAGTTAAAAATCACGTCAAAATTAACTAAAGATTAAAGGCATCATCCAAAAAGATCATTATTGTTTTTCAATATTATATATTAATTTTCGAATAGTATTTAATTATATCACATAAACACGATATTATAAAATTTTGATAAAAAATTAATTGGATTTATCAATATAAAATTATCAATATAAAAATTTCTTAATACTTTTATTTGTGCATGATTCTACTTGAAGTATAATATTGGGTCTTCCGGAAAGTTCGTACCAATGTTGAAGGAAAATTGAAGAAAATTTTAATTTAATAAATGTATACTAAAATTTAAATTTTAGTCGACACGAACTTTCCAGACAACCCAATATAACATTGAATCTTTTTTTCTCTCTCTTCTTTCTTTATAAAAATTAAAAGTCTTAGAATATCTATAAATTTTGCAGAAATTAAAAGTCTTAGAATATCTATAAATTTCTGCAAAATTTATAGATATTCTAAGACTTTTAATTTTTATAAAGAAAGAAGGGAGAGAAAAAAGATTTAATGTTATAATCAGGGAAATTTTAAATCATGGATAAATTTCCAATACAAATTGTGATTGATGATTTTGAATAAAAAAGTAATCTGTTAGTAAAAGAAAATTAACAGAAAAATTGACGAACAAGTGTTTTTTATACTCAATCTTATATTTAAAGTTTACATTTATCCAAATCCTTTAATAATAATCCTTTTTTTTATCTGCAATTTCATCAGTGAATTAATGAAAAATGTGTGTTTAATTAATATGTAAAATATAATTCTGATATTCTTTACATATACATTCTTTACATATAATGTTCGAATACTATTATTGTGTATTAAGAGGAAAAAAAAACTTACTAATTTCTTTTAAAGACAGTAACATCGTCATATGTAATAATTTTAGGAAAGAGATTATGATATTCTCGTGTCGATGGTTCTCGTCATGCAGGATGGTTAACTTAATCGGACGATCCTGTGCATGCACATCAATGCAAAAGCCACGAACTGCGTGTAGAAACGAGAAGAGGCAACTACTCGCGATCGATCCTGCTCTCGTATCTAGTGCAGAAAATAATTGTTGGCCATGAAAATCATGTGCTCTCTGTACATCGTTTATCATTTATATTTGTCGCGCAGAAATGACAAAATGGTAAACGAAAGCATGGAAAACGGAATTGAAGTGAAAATCAAGCGTTGGCGCGCTCAAGAATACTAAAATAATAAGTTAATGTAGTAAAAGAAAAAGGAGATATAGGTGTTTTTTTTTAAATATATAATTCAAATTTTGAATTAGAAATTTTAAATTGTTTTACATTGTTTGTATAAAAAATTCTAAGAGATAAATTATATCGCTTTCAACAATAAATAAATACATATATCCCCATAATAATAAATAGTAATAAAAAGATAATAAATAGGAGTCGTCGCTAGACACAATTACGCAGTATCAAAAATTAAAATTATTTTACATACTATGCTACAATAATTTAATCGGCATATATATACTATGTTACAATAGTTTAAATAGCCTTAAATTACTATTTATTATTATTCTAAATATAAGGAATCCATTAATTTATTGTCTTTTTATTGTAATTTATTAATGTATATCCTCATAGTTACATTAAAATATGACAATATATAGTTAATATTGAATCCGACCATCTTTAATCATGTCAAATATATATAAGATACGGGGGTGAAATATATATAAGATACGAGATTGCGCGATGAATCCGATATTCACGGATATATATAATGATATTTTCTAAAGAATGTTTCTTGTCTTTGACACGCTGCCATGATCAATTTAAATTAATCATTTCGTATAGCTTAAATTATCACGATATCTAATTCTCATTTGGCGCGTATACTATTGTTAACAGCAGCGACGATGTTCTATTATAAATCCCTTCACGAATCTTTTGCAATTCGATACAATCTTGCGCAACGAGAAACGTTAATAGAGAGCAGTGGGAAGCATTCCTGTTCGATTATATAATCTGATGCAGGTCGTAATTCGACTTGCACGACTCCGAAACGCATTGCGTAATTTCGTGTGGGAATCTCGCGAACGTTAATGAGAAGAGGACCCGGGTGTTTCCATTATTTGTATGTGTATATATATTACCGCAGGATGTTGTAACGACATTTTCGCTTGATAACGGTTAACTCATACAAATGTTGCCCATGAAAGAGCGAATAACGTTGTTCCGTTAAAATTCATGACGAGCTCGTTAAGAGTAGAATTCGCGATTCTCGTGCATTGATACTACTAGCACACCTGTTCAATAACAATTGAGTATACAACGCCCGTATATGAATTTTTCACATGTTTTTGTTGCGATTGTCTAATCTTTAAGTCTATTTTAGACAATCTATAATTTATGATCAAATTCGGAAGAGAATAATATTTATAATTTTGCATGTATAGAATAGAAAGCATTTTAAAAAAGTAAAATTCATACATATAAATTATACATTACTAATTTATATTTTCTATATATGCATATCTTATTTCTTCCATGTTTTTTATGTTACATGACATGTAATATTATAAATAGAATTTTGTCTCAAAATTATTAAACAAGTAGTTATTAAACAATGCTGATGTCTGTATCGTTACACGTACACACATTTCAAATTTATAAAATTATATGCTACAATAATAATATAACAACATAAATAGTAAAATAAGTTTATAATATATGATCGTTTATATTTATTATGATGGCACACATGCCATATTACGTGTTTTATATCTAAATCAAATTACACGCAAAATTTTTTCTGGCAATAAAGTTTGCGAATAAGCATTTATACTGGCTTACTTGAAAACTGCAGCTTTATTTTAAAAACCCCACATCGTCTGAGTTTCTGAACGCATTTGTTAATTTACTGGTGCACATCATTTTATGTCACGGTAGTAAATAGCAGATAGATATCGTGAAATTGAAGTTTTATAGATGGCAACGTTACAGCCGCGTTGCAATGTTATCCGGCAGCGTTAGAATAAATGCTCGAATGAAATTGTGAGACGTCCTTATAAGCTGCAATCCTGTTCCGTGGTAGGAGTCGAAGGTTCGAGTTCTCGTCCGAAAAAAAGTATATTGTTATTTATAGATGTGAATAGACGAGAAAGACAAAAACCAAGTAGAAACTATGTAGCTTGAACAAAGGCTGTCTGAAATCTATGCATCCCCTTCGAATAGATATCGAGTGGCATTAATGGCATCTTAGCGACAATGTAATGGGATCTTACCTATTGAGGAATATAGGGTCGCTATATTATTTTCATAATTTCGTATATATAAGGAATGGATATTAGAGACAAATCTTCAGTATACGGTGATGGCTCGTGCGAGACGTATCCTGGGAAGGATGAAAGTCCTTATTCTCTGTGTAAGCATCAGACACATATTGAGATACAATTATTATGTAATTTATTATATCATATGTATGTACGAAAAAATCAATTGTAATGTTACAAAATTTCATCATTAAAATTTGTTCGTATAGAAGAAAAATGATATGTTGTCATTAAAAATTAAAATTAGATGTAAAATTTCGACAGAAGAATACTACACACGTGATAATGTAAAGAAATTGTCAGTGCATATTGATTATTTCAATTATAACACGTTTGAATGACTGACCATTAGGTAATGATCTATGGTTTATTGGCGGAGAGCACAGAGGAAGTCTTGTCACTCGGCCGATGGAAGGAGCAGGTTATTGCGCCAGAGTTTCTATTGAACAGTCGCGAGGATATTTCAGAGAGCAGTCGGGACGCGTTCCTCTTTGAGGATAACTTCCGTCCCAAGGGACTCGATGAGGTCAAACGAATCACCAACACCGAGAATGTGGGCATCAATTTGCAGCCGCGTCTTGTAACGAGAGTATGTTTGCACAATTCCTAAGAATTTCTCTCTCCTACTTCTTTTGCAAACAAGTAACATTATATACAATGCTGTACGATATGTCATATGTTTTAGTCAAGTTTAGATTACAAATTCATCGAGGAGTTTGAATGTTTACTCCCATCGTGACACTTTATTCAATCGAAGCTGTTAGTTTCAATAATTTAGCAGCAAAAAAAGTGGAGTACTCAAAAATATACTTTTTTAATAAAAGCTGGTAGATAAAAGTATAAATGTATCTCTCATAATATTATACTTCCGTATAACGATGTTTCTATAAGGAAAGATTATTAAACATGTACAGTAATTATTTTCGTAATTATTTTCTAAGTGAAACGCACGTGCATGCCGATATTATAATGATAAAGGTCATCCAGATTATTCAGAAATGACAGCTGCGAATAATGGTTTTTTTAATTCTTTGCTGGATGGAAAATTACATTTACTTTTCTGATAACAATATAACATGCGTTTAAATACGTGACAATCCGAATTTCATAAAGAGTGATAACATGTTTTTTTTTCTGCCACATTATTTATTTATTTTGTTTCAGCTTTGTAAATCGCTTTATAATTGTGTAGTGGCAATGATAAAACAACTAAATGAAAGATATAACATTTGATACACACATACGCACACAAAATAAAATAAATGAAGAAATGTGTAATACAAAAATGTAATATCAAGATTACATCTTATTTTATAGAATAGTAAGATTTGATGTAACAGTTGATTCAAAATATTGGTGTTAATTTGAGATTGATCTTCTAAATATGATGATCTCAAAATGTAATACAAATTCGCGTTCAATTACAAAATTGTCTTAAGGCACGAAAATATCATCCAAAACTAAAATGTATCTAAATATAGGTATCAGAAAAAGAAGTACTTTAATACAATTCCTAAGTATGTAAATTTGTATCTAGTTACAGTACTTAGATACTTGTACTGTACAACACTGAGTAACTGATACTTAATGCTACCAAAGTCATTCGCGAAATTCCAAATATTTTTTAACAATTCCAAAATAATTTATTAATTCGTGCTAGAAAGTGTCGAAGTCAACGGAGAAATTTTTTAGCATCTTTTGGAAAAACATTAACCCTCCGCGAACGAAGGTGGGATGTGACATACCCCAGAGTAAGATGAACTTCTAGACTTCTTTAAAAGTATCGCGCCCAAATTACCGGTTTCGTTCAATTGGAAAGTGCGTCGTTAGCAAACATATTAAATTTATTATAGTAGGTGCTTGAATTAATTTTCGCTGTTTATATTTAAGATGAAGTATAGCATGAGATATTCCACACAAAATGCATGTTGATTTTCTGATCATCTGATTCTCGGAAGATTAAATAGAATAACTAACATTAAACAGCATTACTACGATTCATGTTTTCTTACTTCAATACCTCGTAACTCCGAAACCGTTTAGAATCAAACATATGTTTGTTAAACATTTTCTAATTATTTCCATGTACTGAAGTCGCACTCTGTACAGAAATTTAGTTCGTTGAAAATTTAAAAATCAGCTCGTTATAAAAGCTATCAAACGAGTGATAAACACTACGTATATAACATCGCTTCATATATTTAATTAATTAAATTCATCACGAAGAACCTTGATTTTTTTTCGTATGACATCCCATTGTTTGTGTGTACGATTCAAAACACGATGTTTATAATCAGAACAGAAAATATAATTTAACTCGACAAATTAGTTTAACTTGATTTTTCAATGTGTAAATTTCCGTAATATTAATTTACGTATACGTTATATGTATAAGATCACTTGACACGTAAACATTTATTCGCAGTCTTTGCAATGCACCTGCGAAACGCAATACGAAATAAGAGATCTGGGCGATGGACATTATCCGAGATACTTGACAGCGTCGAGCTGCGTGCCAAAAGCCTGCCTGAACAAGTTCAATTCCTGCCGACTGCTGCACTATATGGTAAGATAGCGTGACAATCGATAATTTATAGTATATAGAAAGTAGTAGATTACTCGCTGCCTATAGGTGCGCCCGAGTGGTTGTCGAGTACTGTACAAGTATACATAACTTTAATTTAGCGCCGAGCGCGTAAACTCTCAGCTTATTGACCGGATGTCCCATTGCTATTCACCATTGTTATTCATCGAAGTGGTAAGTCGCGCCGAGCATCGCCTTAATCGCGATATCGAATAGATTTGCACGTTACAATTTTTTGTAGTTGTTGATTTGTGCAGTAGACATTCATTTAAATATGTTTTGCGTTCGATGTAACACACTTTGATTATATAATCTTTGATTATTATTAGCACTACATAGAATGTAGATACAATGAAAAAATATATATAAAAATACAAAACACGTATTATTTTCTATAATCTTTATTTATATTCATCGGAGATGGGGGAAAATGTTAGCAAAGATGTGATGATATTTAAGTAAATATTTGGACACGTACACAAGGAAACATAAATGCTTAGTTATATTTTTTCATGCCTTCTCATGCTACTACTTCTCATTTATTCTTACGTCTTCTTTGATATGTACACAACTTCAGATGGTAGACATTCTTGTCCCCGTGTGTACCTATGTCTGGATACTTTTATCATTTTAATAGTTCAAAAATTACTCGTCTACAACACACTATGTGTTCATAATTATTCATATTTACAGGAAACAACTGAAACCATTAATATCGATGATTAATTAATCGCATTGATGTCCTTGTTATATTCATTCGTAATAAGAATTTATCTGTCGGCCAAGCTTAATTAATAGCATTAATTCATATATGCAATTACTCATCCGAGACTTATTATATAGCAATGATACATTAAATCACAGAACAATATGACATGTTATAACAATTATCAATCAGTTTTTAATAGGGGAGACTGGAATTGATTGGCATAAGAAGTTTGCACTGCGTTCTGTTTATGTATTTATGAAAGAAACAATGAAAATGTTACCGTAAAATATTCTTTCATAGCTAACACCTGAGATAGATTTTCTCCTAAGTTTCATTAAATTAAATATTATAATATTACGATAGAAAAGGAAAACATAAATAAATTTGTGAGCATCTCATAATTTCGTATTAATATCCTTTGGCTTGAGAAAATAAATCAAAGTGATATATTATTAGTTAAAAGAAAAGTGTTTGTTTTATGACGCGTTATTTTAAATAACAATGATAAATGTTATGATAAAATGATAAAAACCAAACGTGTAAAGAGGGATGGAATACGTTGGCTCATTTATAAAAAAAGATTAAGAAAAATATCAATATTCCAAAAAATTATTTTCGTTATATCATTTCAGATTTCCAAGGAATATTCTTGAAGGACTTTCTAAGAAAGTCTCAACATTTCTAAGAATGTTTCTAGAAAGATCTCTGGAATAAAGTATATTATATGGGTTAGCATATAAATCATTAGATTATATTTTTAATTAAAGTAAAGTTAAATATTTCGTTATTTCTGTACAGGTTTACGTGTTGAGCCAACGCGAATTGAGCGAGTTAAATGATGATCGTTATTCACACGATAGTGACCTTCAGGAAACACCACTTCCGGAAGCTCTTCGTCATAAGTGGCAACTGAAGCCAATGAAAATTCCGGTTGCGTGTGTGTCGATGACAGGATAGAAGAAATAATGTATGACCGTTCGGACGTGCCAAGAGAAGATAGAATTTATTAGCGACTTCCATCGATCGTTTTGAAGATTGTTAACTATTTGATGAATAGATACGTACAAAATATTGAATTTTATGCTTCTGCTTGCAATACATACTTACTTAGCAAAATTTAAAATATAAAAGTAATAAATAAATAACTGAAATGAATTTCAATGGTGTAATTTTCATCTTTTTTAATCTTAAAATATCAACCTTTTTTTAGAGAACTTTTAACATCTTTCCTATTAAAAATTAATGGGTAAAAAAAAATTCATTAGGAATGTAATTAATCATAATCTAATTTAAGAGAGAGAGAGAGAAACAGAGAGAGAGAGAGAGAGAGAGAGAAAGAGAGAGAGAGAGAGAGAGAGAGAGAGAGATTAATTTACTTATACTGTCACACCAAATTTATGATATAAATTTATGATAAAAAATTTTTTTTATATATCCAATCGATAGGAAATTTAATTTCCTATAAAAAATTTTTCTTAATATTTTTTTCATATTTTCGAGATATGTTAAAAATAATAAAAAGCGACACTTTTTATTAATATCTCTGACATGCACCATTTAATTTAATAGCATTTTTCTTTTTAATTTATTTACATGTCAAATGATCGTATCAATCAATGAATCAATAAAATTGCGCCAAAGAATTAATTCTGAATAACAGTTGTTTTTCAGCTCCAGGCGATAGCCCAACTAGACACGTAATAAAATTTAAGAGGCAAGATCGTCCACTCATTCAGGCCTTGCAAAAGATATGATAAAAAACTCGTGTTTTATTTTATGTCTAGAATTATCGGAATAATCAACGATGTGAATAAAATTGAGCGCAATGAAATTTGCGACACAGGGATCCAATTTCAATAAATTGTGCTGTAAAATAGCCGATTAAAAAAAGATTCTTGAACGCTTTAATGACAAGCCTTTACCGCCTGATTTAATTTTTTGGCGATACTGTATTTTACGATACGTTTTTGTCGCCTCTCAGAAAAATTGTTCTAAAATTACATTTCGTAATATTTAATATCATGAGTGCGTACTATCGATAAAGAAAACTTTTACATAGAGAATCGAATTTTATTATATAACTAATATTTTTTCCTATTGAGGAAATCTTAAAAGATGATTAGTGTAAGTAAGACACAGATGATTACGTATCATTGACACATTATTATATATTATTACGTATTACTACGTATCTCATATGTACATACACATAAATTTTATCTAACAATAATGTTTTAATTAGACGTCCAATTCTAAAAACTTTATTTACGTTATTTCTTCGTATAAATTACTAAACTGCAGATTACTATTTTGTAAGTACAGCTTTTAAAGCAAATGTCACGATATAATAGCTCTAGAGCGCCATATAGGACTAAGAAATGAAAAAAGATCTCAATTTTGAAATTTTTGTCGTTCTCATAAACTCCACCTCATAGACATGTATTAATATGTATAATTTAATCTTGAGAAAGGATTTTCGAATTTGTAAAAGAGGGAAAAAGTAATCCTTATACAAAAATTAAATGATTGGTTCGTAATACAGACGGCTTTAAGATTCCCTTAACTGCTTTATATATCTACTACTTACATCTACATACACATATTGTATATAACACTAATGTGTATATAACACTAATTGAATAGCATCACTTATTTCATACAATATGTCATTATATAAGATATAGTCCATATTAATAAATCTTTCTACATAAATTATATCATACAGGAATACGAATGCAAACAGAAATTTTTTTAAATAGATAATTACTAATTATTATTACTATTTTTTTTAAGCGATTAATAGAATTAATTAAAGAAGTGGAAATATTTAAAAAATCGTTTACCAGTCTTTTTAGATAGTATAATTTTTTAAGAAAATATTTTCTTACGTTTTTTATTAAAAAAGAAGAAGAAGAAGATAGGATAATTCTTTAAGAGTATTTTCTTGTTCTTTTATTAAAGTAAAAAATACAACATGTTAAAATTAGAGGAACAGTAAAAGTGAGTAGAACCTATGCGCGGCGAAATAAAGATAATTTCGTTACGGCAGCGTAGAGCTATAAATAGTAAATAAAACTAAAGTACTAGAGAAACCGCACTTCATAATTTTGTTTGAGATGCAATAAAGTCGATCTTTTATGCTCTTTCTAAGGATGAATTGCACCGAGCAATCAAAATGCTAACGAAAGATTTTACTCAACTGTGTGGAAAATGGTTCAAAAAGATTCCTTCAATAGAATTAAATTGATTATTTAATTGTTATTGCTATGTATATGACTAAAGCAATATTTAATAATGCAAAAACACATTGGCTTGATATGTCGATTTTTTTATCAATAGAAAGTGAATCTTACGCTGTTGAAGTTGCCACACAATAGATAACTGCAAAAAAAAGTAGAGATTGATTGAGTTTTCGCATATTTAAATCTTTCTGTCTTTCTTTTTAAAAATTATATTGATACTGTGTTAATCTCATGTCAAAATAAAAAGTAGAGATAGATAGCAATAAAATTATAAAAAATATAAATAATACGGAATTGATTATAAATGCTTTCCATACAGCATAGATCATTCCATCAATATTGCAGTTACATTGCAACATTGTAGTAATGTTGTTGCAAGCTTCTATATTGTAGGTTGTAAAAAATGTATGTTGTAAAAAATTACAAAACAAGTGATCTTGTAATTTAATGAAACGAATTTTAAATTTTCATAAAAAATCGTTTCTCTGTAGGTAATGTTTGTTTCTTGCGAATAAAGTCCAATCTGCATAAAACGCAAGCTTGTTATATCAGCCAATCCGACATGTCAATTTTAAAAGTGACACTTCGAGATTGGCTGATGCAACAAGCTTACGACTTGCGACTCGTTTCCATTTCACGTATGTACATATATATCATCTAATCACAGAATTCTTATAAGAATTCTAAGAATTCTTATAAGAATAGAAATGCAACATAAGTTTCTCCTTGTAAATCCTCGAGTATTCTCAACAAACGTTTCTTACTATAAAAGAGCAATTCATGTATCCTTAAGATTAAAGGCATTCGAGTTACACAGAATGTTGCAGGTATTATGTGTTCCATGAATATTACTTAGATGAATAACTTCTCTTTACGTGAATGTTTGAACGTTGGAAATAAATTAGACTTGTAAACTTTCTGAAGCCATTTTGCCATTTCCATTAAATAAATTAT